CATTTTGCGTCGCATTTTTTGAAAATACATTTCTCAGAAACGAAAAATAATCTATAAGTTTAGAGTTGTGCGTTGAGTAAGGAATAGTGCACCCTAAATGTTGCAAACATTTCTTCAAACCTCCTCATTTGCAATTTAAAATTTTCATTCAAATTACATGAAATCCTGAATTTTGTGCGCTTCTTAAATGTTGATTTGAAAATGAAAGCTTTTACGCTACTGCAGACTCTTCAATAAAAATTCTAACTTTCACAGCAACGCCAGTAGAAACTTGAAAGGTTCACATTCTGTAGCAGCAGCAGCAGCATTGCACCTAAATGTCTGATATTCAAATTTCGTGCGAATTTCTGTGACAAATCTGCCAGCATTTACTCACGCACGTTGTTATGAGTGAATCGAATTACCAATTCTCCATCCAATGATATAAAAACGAACTCCGTGGCTCAAATGATTCTTAGCAAGGTCAAAAAGGCGGAGTCATTTTTCAGTCGATTTTGCAATTTAAAAAAACTGGCAAAACTACAGCTCTTCACTTTATTTGATAAAAAACATAAAATTGGAACCCATATTTGCAATATGACACAGTTCGCTGGAGGCAAGCTTTAGATGAGCTTGATGCAAAAATACGAAGCTGTCCAAAATATTTTCTAGGTAAAATAAAATCCACACTATCCACACGCTTACAGAAAACTGCGTAGTGCCAGCTGGACAGAAAGAAGGAAACGTTTTTGTACAGTTGCAAATCTGTCCAAAGCCAGACTTGTTTCAGATCAGCAGAGCATAGAGAGAAAAATATAAAGAATCTAAAAAACATCAGTTGATTGTCGGAAAACTAAACTCAGCTCAAGCTAAAAGATTTATAGATTAGAGATCATTCTTATTAGCTTTCTGCAAGCTGGGGCGCCATCCCCCATTTTCTACCCATTAATCCTCAAGGGAGATTTGTAATAGTTCGCATTTAGCGTTATATCTGTCAATTAGAGCGATGTACACCATGGGTAGTCACATACATCTCAATACAAAAACGTTCAAGACAAGTGTTGAAACTTTTTGACGAAAATTTCGTTCGAGCGTTACTAACTATTTTTCAGAAACGCTCCCAAAACATTCACAAAACTTGCAAAACTTTGTTTAGTTTATTCAGCCGGAAGAGTTGTTTGGGGATAAAAGAGGCAAACCTTTGTAAAACCGTCGATAAGAACTAGGATGTATTTGTAGTTCTTGGTACTTCCTGGTAGAAGGTCGACGCAATCAACATTTAGTGCATGAAATGGTTCATTTGGTTTTGGGTAGAGGTAGGGAAACCTTGTTTTGGGCCAGGTCGATTTTTCCGAGTACCACAGAGTAGCAATGTTCAACATATTTCTTAAAGTAGCGACTCATGTGTGGAAACCAGAAATAGAGTCTCATTGTGGCCAGGGGTTTTTCCCAACCAACCTGACATTGGTCGTCATGAAAGATTCTTCAAAGATTATATCTGTTATTAGACGAAACAAATGGTCGTAAATCTGCAGGCTTGCCAGCTTTATCAGTCGTGATTCTGAATAAAGTCCCTTTTTGAAACCTATATTTTCGCTTGTAATCATCATTATTGCTATTTAAACAAGTAACAATTTGCTTGCATTCCTTGTCCTCTGTTTGGGCCACAGTTAGCCAAGTCCACAATGATTCTATATTTCCCATCTAAAAACGCGATTCACACGACACAAAGGATTGTTGACCAATGTCATCCTCTGTCGGAAGCCAACTGAACATTACACCACACCTTTCCGACCAAAGAAAACACCGAACAACCTGATTATTTAATAATTTAATTGTTCGCCCTTTCAATGATTCACGCTTTACTTGCCAGTTCGATTTCAGTTTGTTTATTGTTGAAATACATTTTTTTTTGTAGAAAGTGCCTGTTCCCATTGCAATATTGTCAAAGGCGAATTTCACGTTCCAACTTAACAAAAAACGATCCAAGTGCTTATTTTTCACTAATTCAATTTTAGGATTAGAGCCAATTATATTTGTCTGAATTTCTCTCAGCTGCAGTGGTACTTGGCAACAAAAAAACCGCGAAGAAATTAGTTAAAAATTAAACTGTTCTTAATTTCCGAGCCATGATAGACACCAACGAAATTTCAACTAACTAAAAATGTCCTTCAAAAGTTCTGATTTCAAGAATTATTCCGCCACAAGCTCAATGGAGGTGCGGCGTAGTGAAGCGCAATGAGTTACAACTCACGAACTCACAGAGGGGCATCAACTCAGAAGCGTAACTCAACACCCAGGTGTTACCCAGGCCCAAGGTACAATGCCATCGTTTAGATATGTTCTTCCGTATCTCAACCGTGCTACCTGAATTGCAGTTTTAAATGTATTTCAAACATTGGACTCTCAATGGAATTATTAAAATTTTAGTCAGAGTTGTTTCACGTGTGCATTTACAGTGAATTAGCCAAGTGAGAATGCACGAACAACTAAGCTAAATATACATCACGGCTTATCCTAAAATGTGCGGAACATTTGTAGTTCACTGGCTCTAATTAAATAAGAAATGCTACGCGAGAAGTGCGAAACAGCAAAGTTAACATTGCTGACGTTTACAAACTCAGCTGTGCACTGAACTAATTTCTAACACTCTAATCATGATGCGAACTTCGGACTCAAATATTTAAATATTATGCTATAAAAATTCTGGTTTGAATTTTTTAAGCATCAAATCTCCCAGCAATTAAAACTTTAGATTTTTTAAAACCTTTAACATCAATGCATCATCATTATGCTTTTTGAAACTTTGCTTTTTTGGTCTTTGCTAGATCTAATTTTCCATGTTATTATAATAAAACAGCGTGTTTAACTCGTTGGTAAGTTGTCTTCAATTCTTACTACTGTTTTTGATTCCCCATTTGCAATTTTTCTTCCACATTCCGCTTTTCACTTGCATTTTTGCTGTTGAAATTATTACTTACTCCAACTAGGCTATTTAGGGAAGCTTTGTAATTGAAAGCTTATAGATAATACCAGATTTCAAAAAAACTCTGACAAAATGTATTTCGATATAAAGATTTTTTTTTTATTTAGCACCACTATTACTTAAACATTTCAACTTGTAAAAGTACCTTTCAATAATAGATGTCCAGAAATCCCCTGGCGATAATAACTGACCCAAAAACTCAGGCAGGAGCCGTTGTATAACAGATTTTCCCATCGACACAGCTAAGTCAATGTTGGCTCTTTAAAAACACCCTATCTGTTTTGTCGAATTGATCCGTGAGCAAATTTACGTATCGAACTCCTGGGATTGAAAAATTTCGGGACTACCGATAGATTTAAGCGTCCGCATGTTCGGGCTCTTTGATTTGTTAAATTGGCTCGGTTTCACGGTTGCTAAGGTAAATGGTCAAAATCGGGGCGAATTGCAATCCCTAAATTGATAAATGGATGGGTTTCAGTCCACTTGTTGTCTGAAATTGGGCACTTAATTACCCGTTCCGTTTAATATTCTACGCAAACCCTCAAAAGTTTGTCAATAAGGCTGAGGAATAGAAACCAAGCAAGAATGTCACTTAGTGTTAATGGAGTAGTGCGCTGTTCATTTTCATGCAAAAATGTCAGGAGAACGAAATAAAATTTGTCAAACCCAGAAAACATCAGAAGAGAGATCCTTGATTGAAGCTGCTGTTGCAGTGAATAAATATTTAATACTCAACTAATAAATGCCACAAAAAATCAGCAAACCTCAATAAATAACAAAAATGCTGCATGTCAAAATAACGTTTTCTTCCAACCGAATTTACTATATCAAACAACCAATTTACTTTTTTCCAGGCTATAGAATGTTCCTAAAAGCATTGCTGACATAGATTTTTCCAATTCAATTCAGTTCAATAAAAAATGATGAAACTATAAAAACACGAGGCCATATTTGGGGGTCACTGTATAAAGAAATGAATAAATGCCGTTCCGTCGATCGGCCTTCACTCTTAACTTGCAGCTATTCTTGCGGAATTTCTCATGCAGGACATGAAGGGAAAGGGCAGAACATGAGGCAACAAATCCCGATATATCGAGAAACAGTAATTTTTTCCACAAATTCGTCATGATTACGGGCATTCGACCGGTTTTTGAAGCTGGATAGAATTATGGGCCTGAAAGGATTTAGGCAATAGATAAGATATAACGATTCAGGGATTGATACTGAAGTGTAGAAAAAGACGCTACAGTCTTATTTTCATTTTTCATTATCACCATTAATTCTGGACCTTCAGTGTTAACTAATTAAGTGCGTCCTAATTCAATTTTCTTGAATCTGCAATTATCGAACAGTTTTGCACGTAACCGAGCACTTACTTTATTTTTAATTTATTGTATAGCCAACTAACCGAATTAATTAGAAAAGGAACCTCTTAATTAAAACTCGAGCAGATTCCGGGCTCCTTTTGCCCATAAAACGATTAAAGTGTCATTATAAATAATCTCTGGGGATTACACACGAACGAGCAGGTGTGAATGCGGTCTTAGTTTCCCAATGCAATAAATGAGAGGTGCAGTTTCACTTTCACCATTGTCAAATATGGAAAACTTTGCAGGTGACTAAATTACTGATTTAGTCGGGTCTTCCTAAGGGGATTAAATGTTTTGGTGAAATAGAGGACTGAAAAGAAAAGGAGTTTTTTGGTTAGTTATTTGAAACCTTTCTTATTATATTGTACCGTATAAGCGTCTGCAGGTCTTGCATGAAGTTCTGATGTTCGTTGAAACAGAAACTGCAGCGTTGAAACAGAACCAGCATCTCGGCCCAGTTCGTCCGATATGGCAACCTGCTTCTCCAAAATACGACTGAGTACATCCTTGCAGCCGTGGAAGAACTTGTGTAATTCACGGGAAGCCGTAAGCACTTGCGTTCGGGTTTCGATCAATTCCAACAAGTCCTACCAGGCCTCGTTCAGCCCGACCTTCAATCTTCGATCTTCCTATCAACGAGTCTGCAATGTCGTTTAAACCCCAACTCGTTCAGTTCCAATGGTTTCCGTGTCGTGGGCGAACTCCTTAAAGCGCTCCCATAGCAGAGTCACGTGATCGTAATCCTGGTCCAGTTCATGAGAAGAGGCCACCACTTCGCGATCAGCTATCCACTGCTCCAAGTCACCAGCATCTCTGATGAGCAGGAAGAGATGCAAAGCCTCATCCAGCTTAGCGCGACGTTCTTACGCCAAATCTTTCAGTCCGGCATACAGCTTGTCCAGTTGCGACTGTTTAACAGCGACCTGCTCAGCCAAAGGATGTCTTTCAGCCGACAGGGCCTTTACAGTTTCACCCAGTCCTCTGATGGTGTCCGCATAAGCTTCAACGGCCGCTTCCAGACTTTCGTGCTTCTTCATGAAGTTCCTGGCGCTGGTGTCATCTTTGCGCCGATCTTCCACCATCATGTAGAGCTCTTGCTCGCTCATCCAGCTCTCGGCCTCATTGGCATCGAACAGATACCGCTGCGCCCGCTCGTTCCTCAGCATCGCCTATTATCGCTGGCTTCCTTCAACTCCTGCCACGCCTTGTGCATCTCGTTGATCAGCCGGCTGAACTCTGTCGCGTCTTCGTGGGCTTCATCGATCAACTTCTGCCCGTTGTTGCACACGGTATTAACGCGCAGCTCGTGGTTCTCCACTTCAGTTTGCTGCGACTGGTTCTTCTTCTGCAACGTGTTAACTTGGAACAGGTTGTTGCCGTTTTCCGTGGTAGTTGCCAGGGGCATTTTTTCGGCTATCCATAGAAGCTCGTCTTCGACATCCCGTCGGAACTGAAGGGCTTCCTTCTTCTTCTCCAGCAGTCGCTGTCTTCCGATGAGGGGCTGCTTGATGAGCTGGAAGCGCTCCTCCACTTTGCTCTTTTTCACCTTGATTTCGTTGATGTCCTTGTCGGATGCGGCCGTTTCCAGATGTTTTGTTTGCTTCTCCAGCTCATCGACTTTGCGCGCCTTGACGGCCATTTACGTTTCGATCATTTGCCGCTTTTGCATTAAAATATTCACAGAGGCCAAATCCGACCTCGTGTGATCGCTTTCGATTTGTTTCTCGAATTCGTTCATCCATGAGTCGATGTCGTCGCAGTTAGCGTCTAACAATCGTTCACCCTTTTCCTTGGTGGTTTGTTCCAGAACATCGAACTGATCGGCCAGTTCCTCAATCTTGGGCGAGATTGCGGTTGCATATTCCTGTTTCTCCTTGACGAGTTCCCAGTTGGGATGCTCGACGTGCAGCAACTGTCTGGCGAGTTGATTAACTCTTTTTCAAAGCCATCGTAGCGGTGTTTCATGATTTCCACATCCTCAATGTTCTTTAGTTTCCCTTCAACGGTTGCCTTCAGGTCTTCAAATCTCTGAGCGTTGTCGTCCATTTTACCTAACATCCCTTTGTTGTTGTCTTCCATTTTATCTAGCATCCCTTTGTTGTTGTCTTCCATTTTATCCAGCAGCCCTTTGTAGTTGTCTTCCATTTTGTCATTCATTTTGTACATTTTGTCGTCCCTTTTCCTTTTGTTCTCGCTCATTTCGTCTTTGATTTGCATGAGCAGTGCAATCAAACTGGGGTTCTCTATTGCAGGGTCTTCCTTCTTTCATTTACTTCTTGTTTCCTTCAAAATTCAACTTGGATTCTGGTAAATCCCACTTCTGACACCAAATGTACCGTGGATAGCCGGGTATCACACTCTTTCTTCAGCTTCCAACTTTTATTAACTCGGTATAACTTTAAATACAGAACAGGAACAAACTAACTTCAAAATTACCGTCAACTTCACAGACAATAACAATAACAGACGGAAAACTCGCTCTACCGACTCGCGGGGTTTAACCTCTTCTGCACCCGGTCGTTGCTGTCACTTCACTTCCTCCTTGTACTATTTGAACATATTTATTATCAGCTAAGTTTACAAACTTCCTACTGCTACTTATCTACGGGTTCTTAAATCTAACATCGTTAGAGTGTCTAACACTCTATGTAACTTAAGATATGTCATCGTATATAACTTAATCTAACTTAACCTAACCTAACTTCCTCCTTGTGATTCTCCTCGCCGCTTATATAGTTTCCTCCAGGTAACCCAGACGGTTCTCGAAATCTCCAGTCCAGGTGCGAAATTTCCTGCTTGTCAGTGTTTGTACATTTGACAGTAAATGGGGCGCAAATGGGGCTCCCACTTACTGAAATACCATAAATGCCATTTTTCGGTTACGATATGAACACTTGGTACAAAATAGTCTCATTTTAAGCAAGAATTTGAAGTTCAGTTGATAGTTGCAAATTTTCGAAATTTACTTTCACCTTTTAAGAACCAAATTATTAAGTTATTGTCCTAATTTTTTCATGTTGAGAAATTATTAGCAACTTGCTAGTAACCTTCTCTAGGATGCTTTATTTATATTTATTTATGTATTTCAAATTTATCAGCTTATACAACTTAGCGTAAACACATAAAAAATTAAATGACTTTGAAATAAAACAATTTTATAAGCAAAAAACAACCGATTCATTATTAAGATAAATAAACTACGAGATAGTAAAGATAAAACCAATGACAAATTAATTGAAAGATTTATAAAAGCATCAGATCTTTCAGTACGGAAAAGCGTCGCTGTTCTTCATATCTCACAGTATTTGCTTACAGACTTTTAAAAGCTGGCTTTGGTAAATTTGCGTTTTCAAATGAATCTAAATAAGTAAGTTGAAGTTGGGAAACAGCACCAGACAACCGCTGACGACTTCTGCGAATGCAATAAGGTCAACTTCCCAAAAATATTTCCTAAACTTTAAAATTCGTTCGGCAACCTAAAAACCTAATTACAGGTTTCGGCAGCCCCCACTTAAAAATTAATTCATTAAGCAATGTAAAGTGTCGAGTGTCTCCAGAGAAAAGTAGAGAAATAATAAATCAAAAAGTTTGTCAACTTTCTAAGCAGGGTCGTTAACATTGGCTATATATTTGGACGCGAAACACGAACATATTTTATGAAAAATCTCAGGAAATGGGAGAGAAGCAGCAGCGAAAAGAAGTGATAAGGATAATTTGATTTAATCTCCTTGGAGACGGCAAAGTTTTGGTTATATGACAAAACGTACGTTCTTTGTTTTATTTATGTGTACTTTTGGACAAGCCGTGTCCGTAATAATGGAAGTGACTCGTATATTACTGGGGTGGGATGCGAGTTGTGGCGCGCCCGATATAAATTTCGGAAAAGTATTTTTTCCTTATTTAAAAGTTTCCAAACAGCAGAAGCTCTGTCGCTCGTTCATGTCTGAAAACAAATGGACATATATCTTTCCTCCGGTCTCATATCTACAACTAATATATTATACTTTGTTTGGAATACGAGTAGAGAATATTAACACGTACTAAAGCATAGAAAAAAGGGCTGCAAATTAATTTTTATTTAAAATGTTAAATAACCGAACGCTACCGTTTAGGCGAACGCTTCACTTCTTCAGAACAAAAACTACTATCCAATTTAACGAGTGCCTAAACTGGAGCTACTTGTACAATGAATGACTTGATTTTCCATTAAATAGAAAAAAATAAATATGATTAAGCAGTAAACTGAACATAACAACTCATACAATGCGAGTAACCTTCTGAACAAATGTTTGTTTACATATTTATAGACGTAACACTCAGTTTATTTTTACATGTATATATAATGCATAGGGTGCATTTTACAAAGGTGAATAAATTAGGGATGGTCGGTATTTAACGAAACCGCTAAAATAACAGGGTTTCAGACGTGCAACCTGTAACCGGAATTATACTTTACCAATTTAACCGGTTGTTTTTGAAACCGTCTCATAAACCCGAAAAAGTGGTTCGCACCAGCACAGACCGATGCGACAACGTCGAGCCATCTATCCAGGTGCAGCAGTTTCAGTCACTATTTGTCAACGGAAAATATGTTTAGTTGCGCGTTCCGTTGATGATTGTGTTTATCACCTTTCGTCTATAAGAATCACTGCTCAGTTCTCCAGGAGCCATAATCGGTCAGATCAGCGATATATTGTTTACTTGCGGTGATGATCTAATTCAGCATTTTTAGTCTATAAGTATTAGTGTTAATGTGAAATATTTAATGCTGTTGTTGACTTAATAACACACCTAAGTATTTCAAATGTTATTACAAAAAATGTGGTGTCTCATCAATCAGCCGAAGTTCAGTTAAAAGATAAATGAGAAGAAGATTATTAAATTTTTCAAGATTTTGACAAACTTGCTTAAAAAAAAAACACAGCTATATCAGTACTTCTAATCCATGCAAAAGATTATTTTCCAAAGCGGGTGGTATCATAAACCAACGAAGAACTAGACTTTAGTAAAAAGTAGTACGCAAAAAAATATTCTTAACTGTTAATTAACTTTTAAATGAAAATTAGCTGTTTACACATCTTCGCATGCAAAGCGTATATTTTATTTAAACCATTCAATTTTATTATTAGTTTATTTCCTTTCAGTAGTTACTTATGACCCATCTTTTCTTTTCGTTTTTAGAATATATTACTTTTAGTTTATCAATGCGAAGAATTATTTTATTTCAATAAACGAAATCATTATTTATCGTCACTATTTCTACCATCATCGCCATGGCGAATTTTTAATGAAAAATTCAAAAAGTGCATTGTTCCTCGACTTGTTACCTATGAAACCGTATTTTGGAACCTATTACCAAAGCGAAACTGCAACGTTCTAGCCGGTTTCAGAAAAATAACCGTTTAGCACACCTCTAGAATAAATAGATAGTTTCCCCTATAACATTTGACCTATAACATTGAAATTATATTACTTCACATAATTGTTATTGCAATTGAAAGTTAGACGAAACAATACATTTTTTAAAACTTACAAACACGGAAATAAACAGGCGACAGAGTCTCTAATCTCAGATACAGATCTGAAAAGAGCGCTGTGATCACCAATATTTTAATACTTATTTAAAGATTTTACTTTTAGACTAGTCATGCCTTGAGCGTGTCGTTCTGACAATTTTATTCAAAAGTTTCAAATTTATAGGCATAGAAAATTGTGGCTACCAAATCTAAAACAAGTAAATTATTAAAAAATATAATCTAAACTACGCTATTGATGCAAAAGAAAGAAAAATAAAAGACTACTTTGAATGAGGCTTGAATAAACAGGCGAAACATACAGTCGTTGAATATATCTCTCTCAGCTGCCTAAGCTGAGCATATGAGAAACAACTGAGCATATGAGAAAATTCCGGGTCTACGGTGAC